GGTAAATATTTTATGCCCTTTTCAGACTCGAGATCCAGTGTGGAACTCAATTATGACGTTACGTGTGACGAGGCAGTGCTGCTTGAAGTTCCTGATCTTTGATGAGAATAAGATTGTAAGTTTTCCGAATGCTTTTCGTGGCCGAATTCATTTGTGGTAATATCGATCAAAAATCAATACTACACTGGGTTTATGTGACGCATGCTAAATGTGCCCGATCTGACCGGTTGATCCTGATTTGCATAATATTATGCGGTAGGTAACGTGCACCTCCGCATTTGTTGTTCCTTTCCCCTCTAAAGCGCATTGATCACGCTGCAGTGAAATTCCGATCATATCTGAAATCTGATTTATCGGATTACTTGAAAGTACGATCTTCTTGCATAATTCACGTTATTTTTAGTACACTTAAGGGCACGCTCATATTCAGCGTTCGCTACACAGTGATTTCAGTGGAATCCGCTTTTCTCCTAAAGGAGGATTTCACGATAAGGACGAAATTCTAAGGGGAAACTCACTAGTAAAGCGACAGGTAGACCTACTGAGGGTGCGAATCGACCCGCAATTTGCATCGAAGGATATGCCCCCGGTGATCTGGCTAGCCTTCCCTGCGCCGCAGCTGGCGCGCCATTGGCTCGGTACGCCCCTCTCTCGCGTTGTCTCGTGTCCAAGTCTCTAGCTGTTCAGTTCAAAGAGCATTAGCATTGAAGAGGGCAGCATCGATGAGAATCGTATCAAAAAGTCAAAAATCAACGCACGGAAAATGATCCCATTTCGTGGAAATCAAGGGGCAAGGGAGGGATCCCATTCTTTGGAACTGGCCCTTTTTTCTTGATTTTTTTTTCTTTCGTGCATCATGACCATCTCTAACTTCATTTTCAATTGGCTGCCTCTTCATCCTAAAATCGGCCTAAATGAAAAAGCGAGAACGAATGGCTCCCTCCAAATCTTTCCTCTCTATTTTGTTTGGAAAAAATAGTAAAATGAATAGCTTCCGTGTTCATTTCTGCTCCACAACCTTAGCCATACTATATATACAATTATATTATATATAATATTTATACGATTATATGTGTATATGAGGCCTTGTTGCCTCATTTACTAATAAACAGAAGTTTCTCTCAACTATTTCAAATTTAGTTTCTAGTGAACCCAGTAATTTTTTTTCAGCGGAAGGATGCGTTACTAGGATCGGTGGAATTCAATTTGGCAACTGAGAACATTGGCAGCGAGTCGCGGCCACCATCAGTTTTCCCGCTGAAAGGGTGGACGACACAGGTACGGATCTCCTAAATCTGCGCTAAATAAAAACTAATCCATATCGTCACGTATCATTTGCGGTTCAATTCACAGAAACATTACAACGCTGCTATTGCCACCCATTTCACTTTTCGATTTTTCATGTGTTCGGGTGGAACTTGAGAAAAATGTGGAAAGAGTTTCAGAATCAATGAACTAGTTAAAATCTTGTTGAGTAGATCCTATGCGCATCCATAAAATACTATAACTACATTATATTCTATGCATGACGGATTGGGTAGCGAAAAGGATTGAATGTACGGTGATGATCAGATCGTTTTTGACGCGCCACGCAATCTACGCGTTCAGCGAAATCGTAGTGAGATTTCAATTTATCAGTGGTAATCAGGTAAGTATCGTTTTTCGTATCCAATACTTCATTTTGGAACATAGGATACATTCAATTTTGTAAAGTGAATCAAGCAAAGCGAGAAATCTGTGGAATAGTGACGCAGTATTGTGCCACAGGTGCCCGAAAGAAGCTTTCGCGCGGCGTGAAAGCAGAGACGCAGACGGGTCAGCGGACGAGTTGCAGCGCGTACTGTAGCGATAACCCACTTCGTCGTAAATATTAGATGAATGACGACAAAACGAGAGATTGGAGAAGACCTTTCTAAATTGAAGTGTGAAGAAGAGTTCAAGGAGTAGTGACTTGCCACCAGAACAAATTTCCATCTTCAATCCGACCGGAACCGGTATAGAATCTGACAATTCTAGTTTTTGAGACATTACAACAGAGCTATCTATAACGATCACCCCTCCCCTTCTCCACCCTGTGCTCAACTTCAGGTTTCCCATCCTTGCTAGTGTAGGTAAAGCAAAGAACCCATGAATGGAAATAACACTCATTCCTTTCCATGAGAAGGATTCTAAGGTGTAATATCAGAAGTGATTAAGGCATCAACGACAGCGTGACATATTACTGGACCACGCTTTTACGCGGAAAGGACTCGTTTTGTTACATTTGCTGAGCATTTTTGAATTTCAAAGCTGTCCATATACCTAATCGAATTCAAAGAGCAATATCCGGCGCTATCGCAAGATAGCGGGCATTGTGATGGCAATGCAATCAAACCATGTGAAACATCTCTTTTTTGTTAAAGACAGCCTAAGCGTTTGATGGGAGCAGAAACACCAAGAATATAGTACAGTTTTCATTTTCCCGAAGTTTCTGACTTTCCT